TCCTCTAACGAATCCAAGCATTTAGAACAGTTGCTGAGTCTTCGTTAATTTTTTGTGAATTTTTTCTTCCCCCATAGGAACCAATGGAGCTGTCAGATTTTGACAGCTGTCAAAAGTTGGGGGGAAAAATTCACCATAAATTAACGAAAAGTCAGATCAAAGCCAAATCAGGTTTGCACACGACTTAGGAGGTCCTATAACGAATCCAAGCATTTAGACCAGTTGCTGAGTCTTCGTTAATTTTTTGTGAATTTTTTCTTCCCCCATAGGAACCAATGGAGCTGTCAGATTTTGACAGCTGTCAAAAGTTGGGGGGAAAAATTCACCATAAATTAGCGAAAAGTCAGATCAAAGCCAAATTAACTTTTGCATCCGTTTTAGAGGGTGCAGAAGCTAATCCAAGCATTTAAAACCATTTTGACCCTTTTATGACACACTTAAATTTGCAAAAATTGACTTCGCAAAGCCATTGAAATGCATTGAGTCAGCTTCAATACATTCCAATGGAGGAAACATTGTATCGTTTAACGATGTTTCCTATGGGTTTTTTCGTTTAAGGCCGGCAATCCGTGCCTATTGGAACGGATTAACCGGTTTCCAATGCATTCCTATGGGAAATAGTGTTTCACATAACGATGTTTCACATAACTTTTTTATTTGAACCAATTAAAATCGTTATGCGAGGCACCACTGTATTGCTATGTTTAACATCTGGATGTTGAAAATCAACCTTGAACAGTGCGCAGTAAAATTTAAGTTCTTGACCTGCCCTTCCCACAAGACATAACTTCAAGAAAGCATTTTGCAAGTATTTAAAAAATGGAGAATATTCATCAAGGTCATCCATACTTTTGCATTTCTGATCACCATGTATGGGGGTGAAAGCTGGACAATGAAGCAAATTGATAGGGAAAACAGAGATTTTTTTGAAATATGGTGCTGGAGGAGATCTAGGTGGATACTGCCAGAAAAATGAACAAGTGGGCCGTAGATCAAGTCAAGCCTGAATTATCTCTGGAGCCACAAATGATGAAACTATGGCTGTCCTGCTTTGGGCACATCATGAGAAGGCAAGATTCTCTGGAAAAGACAATAATGCAGGAGAGAGTTGAAGGCAGCAAAGAAGAAGGCCAAATATGAGATGAATTGACTCCCTAAAGGTAGCCACAGTCTTAAGTTTACAAGAGCTGGGCAGAGCAGTTGAGGACTGAGACATTTTGGAGGTTGTTCATTCATAGAGTTATAAGGCAGAGACAACAAGATGCCCCATGACAAGAAGAAATGTTCATCAAAAGAGATACAGAAGAGAGAAGCCACAATTATTTTCTCTCAAGATATAGAATCCTTATGGAGTTGAGAAGGGTCAATAGATTTACTAAGAAGAGCAAGTTAAGAGGTTTGTGTGAGGGAGGAGTTTCCTTACTGATGTTGCTATTTACAGTATCAACTTTGGACCTGGGTCATGTTTTCATAGATCTACCATCTCCTTGTTGTTCTTGACTTCCTTGTGTACTCTCCACTTTTACTGATCAAAGAGCTTCATTTTGGAATGTCAAGGGCATCTGCAGCATTAATCAGGTACATGATCCACATGCAGAATTAGAATATCTAGCCGACTATGACTATGACTATTGACTATGCAAAAGCCTTTGACTGTGTGGACCACAGCAAACTATGGCAAGTCCTTAAAGAAA